CCCATAAATGCTTTCCTCCTGTGCTCTGACTCCTGTCAATCCCTCCACACTAAACCCTTTCCTTCCCATCAAAGACATAGCTTTGGTTCTTCCGCCTCTCCAGTTCATTAATTTTCTCAATCATTTCTTCCTTTCTTACTGATCATTTTTATCAGCCTGCAGATGTTTTTTATTTCTGGTCTTACAAAATTCCCTTTATGGATCTCCTATTTTTATCCAACTAGTTGTTGCTCCTTTTCTCTCCTTTGCAGCAAAATATCTCCAAATAATTGTTGTTGCTCATTGTCTCCGATGTTTCTTCCCCTGCTCCCTCTTGACTTTGGCTTTTATTCGCTGCTCCCTCCCTCCTATTTTGCTGATACTGCTAATGTCAATATCACCAGTTATACAGTTTGCAGCCTTCCTCTCACTTGGAATTGGCAGCATACAGCAAAAGTGATTACTCTAACCTCCTAGAAGAGGCTTCCAGGCCAGCACATTCTCTTACTTTTTCTCCAAACTCTGGCTTTTTTTTTTTTTTTCCCAACTTTGCTGATTATATTTGTTCTCACTGCTTGTCTTTTTTTTTTTAATCGCTTGTCCTTTTAACATTGAATCTTTCCTCTATGCACTCACTTAAATTTGCTTGGCAATTGCATCCAGACCCTTTTTTGGGGGGGGGGGTGTCTTGATGCTGAAGACTTTCAACTCCTATACCTAACAGTCTATTTCCAAGCTTTGCCTTCATATCTGAAGGTTTCTCAACTATAACATCTCCACAACTGAACTCCTAGTATCTCATCCCAACATGCTTCATGGTTTGCCCTTCCTTAGTTAAGGGCAACTCTCTCCTTTCAGATTGCGTGACCCAAAATCTTTGAGTCATCCTTGGCATTTTTCTCTGACTCATACTCTGTATCCATTTCATCAGCACATCCTTTTCCTTCTATCTTTAGACTCTATCCAGAGCCTCACAACTTTTCTGCAAGTAGGAGCCCTCATCTCTTACTGGTATTGTTGTAGTATCCTGTAATCAGACTTGCCATGTCCCTTTTGTCTGGTTAGAGACTGTTCAGCAAATACCAGCTAGAGAGATGGAATGCAGTTGAAAAGATGCTGTGATTTTGCTTAATGGCTGCCTGTCTCCCTCACCTACTTGTTGACTCATTCATTGTCATAGTAGAAAGAGAGTTGATGGTGACTTACAAGGCCCTCCTTGCCTGATCTGTGCCACCGCCCAATCCCAATGTCAACTCTTCCAGCTTCATTTCTTACTCTTACTCCAGACCAGGCACTCTGAACTTCTTACTTTTCCTCTGCTGTAATAAAAAATGCATATACCCAGGACCTTTGCACCTGCTGATCTCTCTGCCAAGAACATCTATTCCCTCAGATATATGTGCAGTGTACTTTCGTACTTCTTTCAACTCTTTCTGTATATGTCACCTCTCACTGGGGTCTTCCTGGCCCTCCTATTTTAAATCACAGTAGCTCTACTTCCCACTTCTAATTACCTATTTCCTGCTTTAATATTCTTCATAACATGTCATCATCTAATACACTGTATATTTTACTCATTTATTTTGTTTTTGTCTCTTTCCTCTAACTACAATGTAAGTTACTCATGGATAGGATTGCTTTATTTGCTTATTCTTTGCATCTAGAATATAGTTCATACAATATTAAGCACTTTATAAATGTTCAAATAAGTGTATGAATTATTTTAATCTTTTTAGTATCACGATTCTTTTGTTACAGACAAGGAATTGAGCCTTACAAAGGCTCGTATTTGTGGAGATAGCACTGAACACCACATCTGTCTTGGCTCATGGTGCAATCACTGTTTGTGTATGAACTTTATATTGGGTTAATTGCATTATGACGTAGAGAAAGTCCTCATTATTGTGCATTTTACGTGTGTCCTTACCCTCAATCGTTACCTTTTGGGAGAAAATAGATTTTTAACCTATAGTTCACGTCATTGCAGCTTGTTGGAGAGAGTTGTTAAATTAGGCTGATTCCTCAGACCAAATGTGTATTTGAGTAGCAGTTCTGAGAAACTCGAGTTTGCTGCCTTCTAGCATCAGAAAATGCTGTATTTACTGAGATGAAAAATACCTGAGTCTAGGGAACTTGAAGTGACAGGGAATAAATAAGAACAGGGCTCCTCTGGTTAAGGTGGCTCAGGTATTCCAAGTTTGTGGATTCCACCACAGGCAGCAGGAATCTTTTTTTTTTTTTTTTTCATTTTCTGCTAATGAATTGTTCTTAGTTCAATGGAGTCGCAGATTTTCAGAAATTATCAAGCTGATCTCAGTCAAATAGGGAACTGATGAGTGATAGAGGTCACAATTTCAGAAGGTAGTTGCAGATGGTGCTGAGTATGAATCATGCTTTTAAGTTTTTGCAGCTGCTTTTAGAGTGCATTCTACAGGATGTGTCTGGCTGGCGTTTCCCCAGCACCTGTCCTATTTGCGGTTCATATTCAAAAGGAATGATTGAGCTGAGAGTGGATTCTGTGCTCCAAGAAGAACTGGTATCCCTCGATCACGGAAGTGAAATATGAATCCCTGAATCTGTCTGCACACTTTTTGTTACCTTGCCAGGCTGTGGTCATTATTTATGTCTATCCAGCTCCCTAAAATTAGGAGTTTTCATGAAATGCTGATATTGGCTGAGAGGTGGTGAAATTTGAAATGAGAATTGAACACTAGTAACATGTACCTTGTGGTTTCAATGGAAAGCCTGAAGTGTTTATCAAGCTCTTTTAATTTGAAGAGTCTCAGACTCCAAATTCCATCTTTTCCTTAGTGGGTAGAGCAGAAATCCTTGCTCAGCATTTTGGGCTCGAGCTGTTCTCTGCTGGGCTCTTGGAGTCTCCTGCAGCCATAGAGGTCAGCCAAAGATTTGAACAGAGTATATGCACAGACTTTGGGGTGCCCCGATGTAGTTTGGAATATAGGTGAGGTTTGGTGGGGTGATGTCTGGGGCTGACCACCAAGAAAGAATTCTTGAGATCTCTTTGGTGCAAAATGGTGGTTTTATTAAACACAGGGACAGTATCTATGGGCAGGAAGAGCTGCTGCCCTGGGGTTGTGAGGGGTGGCTGATTACATACTTGGGAGTTAGGGGAGGTAAGGGAAAGAGAGGTTTTCAAATGAATGTTTGTATGCCAAAGAGGACCTACAAGATATCAGAGATCTTGCCATTGCCAAGTTAAGGTGGTTTTTCCCTCTAGTAAAGGATTAATATTAAGATAGATGGGAGTTTCCTTCTGGAAGTTAGGTTGTTAAGAATGCTTTTTCTTGTAAATCACTAAGACTTTTTTTTTAAAAAAAGATTTATTTATTTATTCATTCAGAGAGAGCGAAGAGAGAGGCAGAGACACAGGCAGAGTGAGAAGCAAGCAGGCTCAATGCAGGAAGCCCGATGTGGGACTCGATCCGGGGTCTCCAGGATCACACCCCGGGCTGCAGGCGGCGCCAAACCGCTGCGCCACCAGGGCTGCCCACTAAGACATTTTTTTAACTAAGGGAGACTCCTGTCTCTAGGACTATAATCTCTATGCATTATTATTTTTTTTTACAAGATTTTATTCATGAGAGAGAGAGACAGAGAGATAGAGAGAGAGAGAAAGGCAGAGACACAGGCAGAGGGAGAAGCAGGCTCCATGCCGGGAGCCCGACGTGGGACTTGATCCTGGGACTACAGGATCGTGCCCTGGGCCAAAGGCAGGCGCTAAACCGCTGAGCCACCCAGGGATCCCCGGTAATGTTCTTCTTTTAGGGATTTGCTCTCTCCATATCCAGCCACTGGCAGCTCTGAACCCCATTCTCTCATACCTGAGCTAATAAAGACTGAGTCTGTCCTGTCTGAATCCTAGCAGTCCTTGTCTCAGAGATTGGAGAGTCCTCTCAGGGGACAAGCTCTGAAAATGTTATACTTAACCACTGTTCTTCCTTCTTTCAAGGGTCGCCCTCTTGGATTTAGGTGTGCTTTTTGGCTCTCCAGTGCCTTTAATTAAGTAGTTCTTTGTTCTATTTTGTCCAGAGTTAATATATGTGGGGAGGTTAGTCTGAAAAAAGCTGTTCATCGGTAAATTTGTAAACCTCAGTAAGTTGATACATAGTTTTCATTGTCATTCAGTTCGGAATACTTTATAATTTCCTTATAATTTCTTCTTTGAGCCGTGGATGCTTAGACATATTTAAATTTTTTTTCTAAGATAGGATTTTCTAATTCTCTGTTAGTGACTTCTAGCTTAATTCCATCATGGTCAGGGAATACACCCTGTTACGATTTTAATCTGTCAAAATATGTGGACATTGGATGTATAGCCCAGTCAGTGAGTGTCAGTGTTCTGCTTACTTGAAAAGGGTTTGTATTCTTGGCTGTTGGGTGCAGTGTCCTGCGTGTGTCAGCTAGGTCATATTTGCTAATCCTTTTCCAATCTTCTCTACTCCCACCTTTGTATCTTGGTATGCTTTTTTCTGTTACTGAGATTGGTATATTAATATCTTCCACCATATTGGGAATATATTCATTTATCCTTTTAATTCTGTTAATTTTTCCTATTTATTTAGGGCCTGTGTTGTTCATGAGTGTAAATTTAGACTTATGTCCTACTTTGATTTGCACCCCTTAAAACTATGAATTTTCTCTCTGTTTCGGGTAATGCCTTTTCCTCTAAAGTCTACTTTGCTAATCCTGTGCTTGTTTTGGCTAGGGTTTTCATTGTTCGTTATCTTTCTTGTCTCAGTGTTTTCTTTTAAATAGTTGGGTTTTGCTTTCTTTTATCCTAGAATGACAACCTTTCTTTCAGTTGAAACACTGACTACTTCTAGTTAACATAATTGTTTTGTTTGCATTTAAACCAGCCATCATGCTAGTTTTCTTCTATTCCCTTCACCTCTTCTATGCTTTTTTCTTCATCACCATTAATTCCCTGAATTTTTGGTTGTGTTGTGTGTTATTACCACACTCTCGTTTGTCATATTAAGATTATCTTCACCTTCTTTTAGGAAAAGATAGAGTTTTCAACACACCGTTGTGTGAACAAGGAATCGTTGGGTTTGGAATTGGGATTGCAGTCACTGGGGCTACCGCCATTGCAGAAATTCAGTTTGCAGATTATATTTTCCCTGCTTTTGATCAGGTAAGAAGGTTTCATTTTACTATAGTTAAACATTTCTTTCTTCTTCTTTTTTTTTTTTTTTAAAGATTTAATTTATTTGAGAGAGAGTGAGCGAGCACAAGCAGGGGGAGGAGGGGCAGAGGGAGAGGGAGAAGCAGGTTTCCCACTGCGCAGGGAGCCTGATGTAGGGCACATCCCAGGATGCTGGGATCATGACCTGAGCCAAAGGCAGACACTTAGCCTAACCTACTGAGCCACCCAAGTGCCCCTATAACTGAACGTTTCTTAGTTTAAGTCCAAGAGGTGTTGACATTTTGCCTCCATTGTCCCACCTCTTATCATGGAGATTTTTTTTTGTCATCTTTGAGCTAATGCATTATGAGTTACTTTGTTATGGGCATATATTTAAAGATCTAATAAATGGTTAAGGAAATGGATGGAAATAAAGAACTCCTTGTGACCTGTCCTTCTTCTCCTCCCTCCCCCCCCCCAGATTGTTAATGAAGCTGCCAAGTATCGCTATCGCTCTGGAGATCTTTTTAATTGTGGAAGCCTCACCATCCGGGCCCCTTGGGGCTGTGTGGGCCACGGGGCTCTTTATCATTCTCAGAGTCCTGAAGCTTTTTTTGCTCACTGCCCAGGAATCAAGGTATCCTCATTTATGTACTTTATTTGATCTGTGTTGGATATTTCCATTTTGGTTCATTCTTTTAACTAATAGGCTTATCCAGAGGAAAGCAAACAGGATTTATGGAATTTATGTGAACTTAATTGTTTATTTTTAGAGAGAGTATTTATTTTAGATCAGCTCTCCAGTTCCCAGGTTTACAGAATATTCTTGTTGAAGTAGCACTGGCTTAACCCTGACATTAATTTCACAGACTTCAGAGAATGAGACAGAGAACATAGTTGGTTTAACTTACCCCTATTTCAAAGATGTTTCTTTCTAATCCAGCTTTCTCATTTAACTGATTCTGGATTAATTTTAATAAACCTACTGTTTAGTACATATTTTACCTCAAAGTTCAGAGGGTTAGGATTTTTGCTTCAGTTTAAAAGAAGCCTTTGTTATCCAGATGTTTTCCAGTCCAGGTAAGGTAATACTTGATCAAACAATTTTGAAGCATCTCTCTTTTAAAACCTTATATCTTTAAAGCCAGTAATTTTAAGTGTTCCACAATAGCTTAGGTCTTTTGATTAAAAAAGAAAAAAATGTGGCTTGTTTTGCATATTTTGTGTCTTAATTTTTTACATTATCTTTTCTATTTCTTTTTGCTGAAGAGCTTTCTAGGGATCACAATAGAAATACCTTTATCTTTCCCAGGACTGTATATATGTTGGATAACATGAATTGGTTGTAAACACATGTCTGTCTTATTTTTATTTTTTATACCAGAGCAAAGTCATAAAGTTTTTTTTTAGTTGAGTAGAGGTTGAATAATTTTTCAATGCAAGCCGGAAGTGATAGGTTCCAACAGAAGCCACATTTGAAGCTACATTTATTTTTGTGCTTAAATTGAACATTGATTCACATTTAAAGTTAATGTTCTTATCCAGCATTTTAAACGATTTTATTTATTTATTTTGAGAGAAAGAAAGAGAAAAAGAACGAATGAATGTTAAGCAGGGGAAGTGGCAGGCAGAGGGAGAGGGAGAAACATTCCCCACAGAGCAGAGAGCCCCAAAAGGGACTTATCCCAGGCTCTGGGATCATCACTTGAGCTGAAGGCAAACACTTAACCTTCTGAGCCACCCAAGCGCCCCTTACCCAGTGTTTTTTAAGAACAGATTTTCGTTCTTTTAATCTCCTAACTTTTCTCCACTTGCCCCTTTCCCTCTTTTTAATCCCAAATGAAAATAGTACAAAATGCTGAAAATACATGAGGAAAGCAGATGAAGAGAAACTAAAGGAACATAAAGACATTGTGTAGTACAGTAAGCAATGTGTTCAGCAGTCTGTTTTATAGAGAATTGTGAGATTTGTGTTATTTTTTAATTAAGAATCCCTTAGTTTAAAATAGTATAAAATTAACTTTGAAAGCCAAGCGTAATTTGTTTCAAGGAATCTTAGTTGAGTCTTTGAGATAAAATCAGATTTATTTTAATAACTCTTCCCATGTAACACTGACACTTATGCAGTTATTTAACTGTCATTAAAAACTAGACATAAGTTTGTGATTTGAGGCAAAAGGGTGTAGTAAGAGCTTAGGCTTAGGTGTCAGAACTGTGGAAGAATCCCTGGTATAGCAAGCAGTAAAACTTTGGGCAAGTTATTTGATCTCTCTTTTAATCCCTTGTCTCTCTTTCTAAATTGGGGAAAATAATAATAGTATGAATTGCTATGAAGAGTAATATCCATATAGAGTACTTGGCCCAGGTAACAACATGTGCCAACTGCTTTGATCATCTTCCTCATTGTCAAAGGCCTTCTCAAGATGGTCCTGGAGCCCATCCCTCTCAACTGGAAGTGGGAAATACCTACACTTTTCTTTTCTATTCTTTCTTTCTTTCTTTCTTTTTTTTTTTTAAGATTTTATTTATTCATGAGAGACACAGAGAAAGACAAAGGCAGAGGGAGAAGCAGGCTCCATGCAGGGAGCCTGATGTGGGACTTGATCCCTGGTCTTCAGGATCACACCCTGGGCCAAAGGTGGTGCTAAACCACTGAGTCACCCAGGTTGCCTCTACACTTTTTTTTTAGCTTTGCAATAACTGAACATTATAGTGCCCAGATCAGAACTCTCAGTGGATGATCCCTATGTTTCATGGGAAAGGAGGGGATTTTGGTATATTAAAATTGGAGAATAATTACATGCCCTTTGAAAGTAGCAGTAGAGTAATAGTGGAAAAGATTTTTCTATAGGTGAATATAAGATAGTGACAACTTTGCTTTTTATGTATTCCTTTTAGTCTGTGTATGCAAATTTAGCTTTTTAAGAGAGGAACAGTATCTTAGTTACCAGAATATGGTGGACATCTGATAAATACTTATTTAACAAATGGAATGTTGGGGGGATGGGGCAATATGTAAAATTTATAATGGTAATTAGGCTAAAAAAGATGATTTCTGTAACTAATAACAATTAGTTACTGAAATATCAACGCTTCTTATAAATGAGTTTACTGGGCTACAGTTTATACTGAAATTTTTGTTTAAAAAAAAAAATCTGTTTTGCAGGTGGTTGTACCCAGAAGCCCTTTCCAGGCCAAGGGACTTCTTTTGTCATGCATAGAGGATAGAAATCCTTGTATATTTTTTGAACCTAAAATACTTTACAGGGCAGCAGGTAAAGGTTTCCTTTATTTTGTATTTGTGGATATCTTTATGCATTTTGTTTTGCATAGCTCAAAAAAATGATAACCTTTTTATTTAATAATATTGATTTGTATTTTCCTTGTTTATAGAAGATTCTGATTGGTTTCTTCTGTATTTACTTTGTCTCTCACTGTTTTTATGTTAACTTTAGAGACAATCTAGCTGTTTTAGGTTCTGATTGTGGAGACAAAGGAGCAATGTGAAATGGTAGCAAGAATATAGGGACTATGTTTAGCTACATAGTAGATGCTTAATAAATGTAGGTTGAATGGAAAAGTGAATGAGTGCATTGTACCAAATAATATCAAATGTCCTTCTAGCTATTGGTCTTTCTCTGAATCAGGATACATTTGATAATGAAGGGTGCACTATCAGTGCTGTGGCATCGGGTCAATGCTGGAATGACTGTCTAAGGCAAATGGAGATGTTCAGTCACCCTACCATGAGCTCAGAATCTTAAATCTGGAACCATTCATCTGTGACTGCTTATTTATCACCTATAATGGAAATTTTAAATATCAAACAATTCTGTCTAAAGTACATTTTATTTTGAATATAAAGAACATTGCTTTGGTAAATCATTCTTTTTCTTGAATAGTTAAGCTTAACATTCTTTATTATATAATTTACATACAATAAAGTACACAGATATTAAGTGTTCAATTTGATAGATTTTTTTTGACAGTCTTACACATCTAGGGAAAAAATGTGAAAAACAAAATCTGGAGCAGTTTCAGGAAGCTCCTTCTGCCTCTTTCCTGGCAATTCCTCTTTTTCTCTACCTTAAGCTTAGCCACTTTGATTCTGTCCCTATAGATCAGTTGCACATGTTTTAGGGCTTCATAGAAACAAATCACACCATATATATTCTTTTGTATTTGCCTTCTTTGCTCTACCTAATGTTTTTGAGATTCATTCATGTTGTTGCTTGTTATCAGCAGTTTATGTCCTTTTCATTGCTGAATAATATTTCTATTGTATGAATATACTCACGATTTATCCATTCTCTTGTTGATGAACAAATGTCCATCATTGTTTTCAGTTTTTTCCTACTTTGTACAAGGCTGTTAGGGACATTCTTGAACAGGTGCTTTGTGAACATACTGTTTCTTTTCGTTTGAGTAATAAACATCTAGGAATGGAATTGTTGCATCACAAAGTAGGTGCACATTTAACTTGGTAAGAATCTACTGAAGAATTTTTCAAAGCAGTTATACCATTTTATGCTTCCATTGGAAATTTTTCAGAATTCCAATGCTCTTAAGTTAAACATATTTTAAATGGAATGTTTTCATTTTTTAGAAACTCTGTTGTGATCTATATCTCATAATGGAATTAAAAGTAACATAAGAATTTAAAGACTGGAGGTGAATAGGAAGACACGGATGGTGTACACCAAGTAGCTCTTTGATTGCTAATTGCTTTAGATATTCTGGGTATTATATTTGTAAGACCAACTGTGCAAGCTTATCAACTAATGCAGATTTTTTTCAGTACATATTTAATAAATAGTGAATAAGAAACTTAGAAAAGCAATATCCATTTTGTTGCAAATGTCAAAATCATGATTGGTAAAGGAAATGTGTAATGTTATAGGATTCCACCTAAGAGAGTGAGCTTGAGAAATTTGTTGTAGCCTTGGCACTGGGAGAGACTGTGAAAACACTCATCAGGAATGGGGCTCAAAGGTTTTCAGAAGTTTCCCAATGATTATGTGCCATTTCAAGGACTTTAATTCTGAATTTTTTCTTGACCTCTAGGGGCTCAGTAAAGAACAAAACAGAGGTTCTTTCACAGCTTGAGAGTTTCTCTGCAGAAGAAAGTAGTCTAGGAAAAAAGGGCTAGCCACCAAAACCTTTTATATCCATGTTTTTTCTAGAGTTGATCCCTGAGCCGGAAGCATTAGCCTCCTGGGAGCTTATTAGAAGTGCAAATTGTTCTCTGATTGGAGAAGGACAAACATTATATGGTTTCACTGATTTGGGGAATAAAAAAAAATAGTGAAAAGGATTATAGGGGAAAGGAGAGAAAATGAGTGGGAAAAATCAGAGAGGGTGACAAACCATGAGAGACTCCTAACTCTGGGAAACGAACAAGGGGTGGTAGAAGGGGAGATGGGCAGGGCGATGGGGTTACTGGGTGATGGGCACTGAGGGGGCCACTTGACAGGATGAGCACTGGGTGTTATGCTATATGTTGGCAAATCGAACTCCAATAAAAAAAATATACAAAAAAAAAAAAAGAAATGCAAATTGTTGGGCCTGGTTTCATGACTTGCTGAATTAGAACCTTGGAGTGTGAGACTCAAGCTGTCTCTTAGCAGCGCTCCAGGTGACTTTGACTCCAACTAAATTTTGAGAACCAGTGCTTCATATCAATTCTGAAGCAGTGACTAATTCTGCCTATTTCCATTTATCTTATTTTATTCTCGCTTCCTATATAGAATTCAGGATGCATTTTTGAGTCCGTAATCTGAAATGCTTTGTAGAAGACGTTTCTGTATTAACAATCACATATAGCAGTGAAAAAAGATACTTTAGATTTATCTCAAAGACCACTTAGAAGTGGTGGCAGTGGGAAGACTTTTAGTATCCATAGATAATAATTTAATAGGTTGACTCTTATTCCTGCATCCTTTTTTGAATTTTCAGCATACATTGGGGGAGTATAGAATAGAGTAGACCAAAGATATGAACCTTTACATTTAGAGTTCTTTTTTGTTTTGTTTTTTAAAGATTTTATTTATATATTCATGAGAGACACAGAAGCAGAAACATAGGCAGAGGGAGAAGCAGGCTCCCCTTGGGCAGCTCGATATGGGACTCAGTCCCAGGACCCCAGGATCACATCCTGAGCCAAATGCAGATGCTCAACCACTGAGCCACCCAGACATCACACATTTTGAGTTTTTTTAAAGGAGTTCACAGATGTATTTTAAATACTAGGCTGACAATCCTTTGCAAAAATAATTGGGAGTTGTATTCTTTACATGATAGCCCATTTAGGTTAATTACTAAGTAATCTTAATTAAACAGAACATACTCCTATATAAGTAAAGAAAACTTTTGAGTATAATACAATGTTTATAAAATCTATGCATTTAAGTACTTATATTTTATTTACAGAATGACCTCTTCAACATAGATAAATCTGTGAAGTAGAGGATTCTGAAAAGTTAGATATGTTATTTAGGCTAACAGTAAATCCATATATGACACTAAGAGATGGAAATTGATTTCTCTCTCCCATAAATATCAAGGTACCAGAATCCTTCTGTCTGATTTCTCTGTTGTCTTTGTGACTTTTGCTTCTGGTCCCAGGGGACTGTTCTGCTCCCATCATCACAGAAACATTTCAGGCATGAGGAAGGATGGGGTGGGGAGGGGAAGAGAATTCTCCTTCTCTTAAAGGAATGACTTGGAAATTGCACATATTAAATCTCTGCACATTACATTGGTCAGAACTTCATCATGGTGCCACCACCCAGTCACAAGGGAGGTTGAAAGAAGTCGTCTTTAACTTAGTGCCCCACTAAGTTTTATTGTGCGACAATGGGAGATGGTTATTAACGACTACCAGTATCTGCCACAGTTGCTTGTATGGAAGAAGGAGGAAAGAGAACTGAGCAATAGTGATTATTTACCCTTTGGACCCATAGTCTAAGAATCTATTTCAGAGATAGACTGATAAAAGTCTGAAAAAAATATTAATTGCAGCACTATTTATAAGAGCAGGGACTAGAAACAACCTATCTGTCTATTACTAGGGGATTTGGGGTTGCTTGAATAAGCTAAGTTACATATATCTGATGGATTATATTGCAACTCTTTAAGGAATGAGCCCTCTAGATACTGCCCTATCAGTCAAGGTTTGATCAGAGATGCTGCACAGAAGATCTAATGAAGATTATATAGCCATAACATATATCATGATAGAAGCTGATTAGTCTATGAAAATTGTTTCTTCTGTGTTTGGTGCTGTCTGCTGAAATCTATAGGGTTGACTGTCGGGCAGGAAAGATGGACATGAAGTAGGGGATGATTAGGACAAACAAGAACATTGGATTGGAATCCAAGGGACAGTCTGGAACTGATTAACAACTGTCTCTTACTACCTCCAGACCTTAGTGGGGGAAAAGACTGATCATTAGACTGGGCTGGAAGGCTTTACCAGCTTGCCTAAGAAATAGTGAGGGCCTGACTTAGCAGTGGGAGATAGGTTAGCAATTTCTTAGACTGTGTCAACTACTTGGCTTCTAAATGAATTTTAGGGGTGGGGGGAAAGAAGAGGGAGGTATTGAGTAAGGATAGGATAAGATTCCCTTGTCTGATGATAATTGAATGGTAGATTAGATACCCTAAAATGAATGGTTGGTATCCATGTGTGTATTTATTTTAGATGTATACTAAACTGGCACAGAAAAAAAGAAAATATAATCAAGAAAAAACTCCCTCTGGTTTAACCAGAAATTATAAACCAAGGGAGAATTAGCTGAACGATAAAGCCAAAGAAATTAGCAGAATATAATTTAGAGAAACAAAGAAAAGGAAAGTATGAGAGAGGTGTTGAATAGGAAGGGAGAATGAGAAGGCCTAAATATATTTGAGGAACAGGAGAGTGGATTTTCTAATAATGTTCATTAATAGAATTTTGTTGATGGAGAAGTAATGCCCTGGCATATTGTGCCATTGTAACTAGGTTGGTGTGATAGATAATTTCAGAAAAGTACCATCTGTTACTTTTTCCTCCTGCAGAATCATTAAGGTAATCTGTTATTTCCCCAAATTTGAGTCATGATCTATATATAATTCCCCAGATATTTATAGGATACAAGGTAAAAAATTCCTTAGGAAGCCAAAATAATTTGATATCTATAAAAGTTAACTGGCTAACTCAAAGAATTTTCCAATAATGTATCATTCTATTTACATTATTTATGTTATTAAATGCTGTTTGAGATTGATTTAATTG